TCTTACATTGCATCAAGTCACAGTTCTCGCTTTCCCCCCACTGTCTATTTAGAATTTAGTCACACTGGAAAAAAATGGGCTCAGTCACACGTACTTCACTGTGCCTTTAACTCTGTGAATTAGATTCCTTAATTACAGTCGATTTGGACTCTAAACTGACACGTTACAGTCGGGCTATACAAAACCAGTTATGTGTGAAATATATGCATTCAAGCCCACGCACATTTAGTGGAATGCATATATTAACAGGACAATATTGACCTTTAGCTCAAGGAGCATAATGTATGCAAACACCCGAAGATGCTTCGCTGCTATCCTGCAAAGTGTTTAAGCGTGGAGAAGGTGAAGTGGATGGAAAAAAACCCGAAAACAAAACAAGACTGGAATTTATTAAAATGCATTTCAATGCACTGAGCTAAGATGAGCTCCTGTATTGAAAATGGCTGTAATCAATAGTTGTATAATAATCCCTTAAATGACAGTATATAAAATCCTACCCAGGGAGAATTATCGCCCGGCTGCAGCTGCTCTCGGCTTTATGGAGCGTCACAGTGTGCTTCGTGTCATTGTTTAAGCTGCACTGCTGCAGCTGAAGTCTTTTCTGCCAGTTGAACTCTGGGTGTCATTTTGGGCCTCAGCAGGAAGCTGTTCATCGTAAAAGAAAAGGGGGGGGGGAAATCCACTTTTCAACCTCACATGCAGGGTACAGTCACCGTTGAACACACAGTTGTTTCTTTCAACAGCATGTGAAAAAGCGCCAAAGAAGTGGAATATCTTACCTGCTAAAATATAACAAATGTTGAGAAGAATATTGCTGTTGTACTGTTATAACACCTCAATTTAAGGGTCTTAAGGAGACACGTTATGCATTTTTTCCGCAGGTCCCAGCTGGGTGGTTCTCAGGAAGTATTCTCCAACCAGATGCTCAAACACTGACAACTTTTCAGAGTCAATATTTTTTTCCCTTCATAATCAATCACCAGATCTCACAACGTCCAACATTGCACGTACACTGCAGAGATAAACAAACTGACGGAGATTTGTGCCGATGTTTCTGTGTGACTTTAATTTGAGCGGTGAAAAACACTGGCGGCAGATTCTAGAATGTTGGAAACAAGTAAGCGCTCTTTGCTGACAGAAAATGACAATACTGTATTTGTAAGAACACAAACAGCACCGCCATTAGCTTGGTCGTTTCCAAGAAATAAACACGGTCATCTCACTTTAAGCGAGCACCTGTAGAGATTCCATTGCATGATCACGGTTGCTGTGTCAAAGTGGTTCTTTTGCTCTGGATGGTTAGGTTAGCTTGGCTGTGACCTCATTGGTGGAAAAACTAAGTGTGTGTGTGGGGGGGGGGGGTATGTTCATTAGCCCAACTGTTTTGTCACAGTTGGGTAGAATGCCAACATTATGTTAAAGAGGTCGGTCACTCAAGATTTACTCTGTTGTCTAATTTCACACATGAAGTGTGGCAGGCCCTGCGAAGATACAGCTATGAGTAAACAAACATTTAAACAAGTCATTTTTTCATAAGATGTCTCCTTTTAAGCGTTGTCTATTTTAGGACACTTTAAAAAATGTGCCCTAGAGGCTGTACATCACCTTTTGAGCTTGAAACTTTATTTTCCTCACGTGTATATTCTCTGTACTCCAACTGTACTCCACGAGATTCATTTTATTCTTTTGACATTTTTTGTTATTTTTTTTGTGATGCCGCCACCGAAGGGTACTACTCGCAATGCCAGCAAGAAGAAATATGACAATGACCGTAGAACTGGAATAAAACTTAGTGGTAAAGACAAAAGCTGTACAGGTAACTGTGCCGCCAACACTGATGTATTGCTGCATAACAAAATGCCTCACTGCGGCATGTCCCCACAAACACTGTATCCCTAATAATATGCCCTGAAAGGAATAAGAGCACAATGTACACCGCTACTGTCAGTGAGCTGCACATTGTCCTCTTTCCCTATCCACATACACTGTGCTTGCTTTATTGTTGATGATACACTTGAATGATAATGAAGAAAACAAAGAATGAAAATGATACATTTAAATACATTCAAGTACCGGGTACCACAGAGATCTCACTCTGTACATCCATATGTCAATGATTCTGCGCCATTTCTCTCTTCCAGTGTGTTTAAATTTGAATGAATGACCTACTAAGTGTTCGTCCGAACCGCGACACTAAGTGATGTAACTCAATGGAAGCCTATCTAAAAACCCCACCTGGATCTCAGTTGGAACGGTGGAAGGATAAAACCCAACAGATAAGTACTCGAATCTACACGCCTGCATCTGTCAAATGTGAGCATAATTTAGCTGAAAGGCCTCACAGTCGATAATGGACTGCAACAATGATACATTTCCAAAATGATCTCAGGGTATTGCGGGGATGAGTACAGGCTGCTCCTGCAACACAGAGGAAGAATCGCAGTGAACCCGGCCTTCGCTTTGAAAACCACCCGCATGAGCCCCCAGTTTGCATGTAGAATGTACAAAAGATGCAATATTGATTGGACTCCACCTCGCCGTCACCTCTGGAAAGGAAGATTACGGTAATTTAAGAGTGTCTTATCAGAGGTGCTGAGGTTGTCATGGATACGTACACCTCACCTGGGTCCTCAACCTTTTGGTGGAGAGGCTGCTATGCATCTCTGACTGCTAATAGAAGTGGAGAGCCAAATGACAAAAGCACAAAAAGTCTTAGTAAGATCAAGCAATTACAACCACATCTGATGCGATATGAGCCTCTGAGCACATGAAATTGCATCATTTCAATTTGACATTTGAAGACGACACTGGTCAAATGCTGATTCTTCATCTTAAAATGTTGCATTTTTGGTCGGTGATGAGTCATCGACTCCCTGTACCGGCAAAAAGGAACAAAAGCAAAAGAAGTCTGTCATCTCTTTGTCTGTTCGAGAATATCAATCTGCTTACTTTTTGGGGATGTGGTTCATATTTGTCATCTGTGGGCATGTGAAGTCCATTGAGACTTTTCTGCGACTATTTGAAATGGAAAGAATTAAGACACTAACATGCATTTGTGTAGTTTTTATGGAAACAAGCATGCTAACAAGAGAAAATCCTTTATATTCAACAATTGAATTCTGATCTTCAGAAGGGTGAAAAGTATTCCTTTGGAATCGATTTTTTTTTCTTCCAAACAATTATTACCGTTTGAATGATAAGAACTGCCAATAACTCAGATATTTATGTCAGAAAAATGAATGGATTTTCAAAAGAAACTTCAATGCGATTTGTATGTCTTTACTGATAGCGATCAAATTTGATGAAAATAACCCATTTACAAAATATGAAGAGTGACATCAATGAAAACAATCTCAAAGAAAGAATGCTCAAAGGCTAGCAAGATGCGTCACTACGATGTTTCCCTTCAATGGCGCATCTGTGGTTTATAAACATCAACATACTGAATGCACACATACCATATGACCCTTGGCTGTGCTGTTAAAAAGACTTCATCCTCTCCAGAGTTTTTCAAGGCCGTTTCCCCGATTCCTGCCACCTGACCTGCGCAGCCACCATAGAAATCCAAGTGCGGCTTCACGGTCCATTAACCCCAAAGCAAGCAAACAACATCCACTAAAAGGCAGAGCGGTGATACATTGCAAGACCTCGTCATACTGGACGTGTACTGTTGCCGATGTCTTTGCAGAGCCTCCAGAGTCATTAACGATGGCCGCCGCCGCCGCCACCGTCCTCCCATCCTCGCAATCTGTTTTCGCCTCCGCCATCTGGGGAAGCGGTTCACGAGCATCTGTCCTAAATCCAGCAAGAATGCTAAACACCCGTCGACTCACAAAGGGAACCGGATCGTTAACAGACGCTGTTCTTCCCACACACCATCTGACCCCCCCTCAATCGCTGCAGGTCATTTTGGACTATGCACTTTGGAATGTTACCTTTTTGTTTTTATAGAAATGAAAAACATTTTTCATTTTTTCTTACTTGGTGGGAGGAACATTAGTTGCCCTTATTCCCTGCCTTTGATATTGGGTATGGTATGAAGTGAATTGTTTTTTTGTCCCCCCCGTACGTTTTAAGTTAAACCAGTTAAACCACTCTCAACCAGTGTGCCTTGACAGATCATCTGGTGTGCCACAGAAGAGTATCCAATTTCACTTAGTTGGTCTGAGTGTTATTTATCTATGACAAATAATGTGTCTTGGTGTTCATCTAGTGTACGTCCTAAAAACTGACAAAATGACATCAATTAAAACATTTTTAAAACAAAATGACATAAATTAAAACATTTTTAAAAACCATTTCCGTTAATGAAATTAAAAAAACGAAAAAAAAGGATAACTAACTGAAACAACATTTTACATTTTTTTTAACATTTTCATCAGTTAATTTCATGCGGGAGCTTTTGAGGTTGATTTTAAATACATTTATTTTGATGTTATTGTATGGCTATATGGAAGAAAAAAGTTAAACACTCATTTGGAAATCATACTTTATTATACAATATTTAATGTAACCTTTATTTTAATCTTGCACTCGACTAACACTCCTTTAAAAATATAACGAATGCTAAAACTAATAAGAACTATCTGAAACAAAGCTCCTCCCTTGTTTTTCATCTCCATCATCAGACAACACACATTTCCCATTCAGACACGCTGTTCACAAGCAGTAACACCAAGATGCAATCCTACATCCCTCACATCGATCCATTCAACAGGCAGGAATTTGCACTCACTTGAGTGCGACTCGGCGTCTTCACTCAAGACCATAAATGGCATCTGAACAAATGCACACACTTTCTGGTGTGCTTTGACGCACAAATGTGTCAGCATTGAGATGGATATGCCTACTAATTGTTTTGCGGTTTTCTTGCAAACTGAACGGCCACACGTATCCGTTGATGCATTCATCCAGTGTGTGTCATAATAAGGTCCCTTACATCTCAGCACAAATCATACAAATAACCTTGGCTTTGCATATCCTTTTTTTTTTTTTTTAGGCCGCCAAGTGAGATATGGGTCCATCTCTTGGTTTTAATGACCCTCCTTCCATACACGCACTGCATGTCATACACACAATGAGGTCGTCGAATCACCCCTCTCTTTATTCGGTCTTTATTTGTTCGTGTAGAAAAAAAAAAGACAACAGACCATAACTGGAATAGAATTTTGCACCCATTTTTATACATAACAGCGTTCTCATCATCACATCAGGGGTGACATTTATTTTTTTCAAGGAATAAGGATTTGTACAGAGTGGAAAGTAGCCACAGTGCTATTAAATAGAAACCGCAAAACAAGCACATACATTAAAAAATCAAATTAAAACAACCCAGTAGCTCTGCCAACATTGCTGCTCAACTGTTCCTCCTCCCTTAGAATATACCGGCGAGGGCATTTGGAAAGCAGCTGGCGCCCTCCCTGCTCTCTTGCTGTGTATGTTGAAGTGCACAGTGTGGCGGTCAGCCTGTTGTCCCTGTTATCAAAACATCCCCTTGTGTATCTTTGCTGCTTGAAGGCTACTGAAACTGGACGATAGGCCCTGAGTCAACTGCATCTTTCCATCTAGTTCATCTCACACAAGGTGGCAACTGATGTCAAATACCCCGCTGAGTCAAAACAAATTATTTCGCCTTTATCTATGCGTCTATGCTATATTTGATGACATCTTGTTATAATGTTTTTTTTTTTAATCGAGAATAGACACACGCATCAGAAGATTTTCAATTATGGAACTTTTTCAAATTTGCTATTGTACAAAGGAGTTGTAGGACCACACAGAAATACCAGGTATCGATAACGGGCCTTATTTTTGACAGTTATAAGATTGACTGAAAAAAAAAGGAATCCTGTGTACTTCAACTGTTGCTATAAAACTATTAATTTTATCCATATATTTAAGACTAAATTTGACATAATATGACTTGTTTCTGTGACAGTATAATGACACGATAAATAAAATAATTTTAACCATATGTTCTCATATGGGTTTAAAAGACACTCGTTATATTGTTAATAAATCCAATTTTTGCCATGTAATTAGAACACTGCTGTTTTAATTTCCATCAGAAAATGATGAGGTTCGAAAACGTTTGTTTCTGTTATTTAAACTCGGTCTCGGTCGTATAATTTGAGTTCCGAAATTAAGAGTCTAAGATGCATGACTTGGTTTCTTTTGTGTCATTAGTGAGGTTGACTTGATAATGAGAAATCTTAGTAATTCGACAGCTGATGTGTTTCTAAAGTGTGGGTCTTCCTCATTTCATAATGGGAGACAGAATACCCCCTCCTGCCCCCCATGTGGACTAATCTATTCCATGTCCAATTGTTCAATATAACTGTAGTTAGTACGTCATCACATACGAGGAATAAGAGGGCCACTGTTAATTGAAGCAGATAGTCCTCGTCATAGTTTTGGGAGCTTCACTTTGTTGTGTGCAGTAGTAAATGGGCTGTCACTTAAAAAGCGCTTTTCTATCTTTGGTACTCAAAGCCCTTTACACGGTTTCCTCATTTACCTACTGATGACGCAGCATCAGGAGCAACTGCGGGTTCAATATCATGCTTAGGAGACTTTGGCAAGGTCGCAATGGCTGGGGTTTGAACCCCCAACCTCTGGATTGGGAGGCAACCACGTCATGCCGTACCCAGTAGTCACATTGATAGGACGGGGTTCTGATGCACCTTCCTTCAGATGTCTAGCCATGTTTTGACTTACACCTACGTTGTAACATAGCCTTTTTAACCTATCTTCTTCCTCTTATGTGCCTCTTCTGCACCTACTCTGCATTAAACCAATTCTTTCAATCTCATTCCTAAAACAGCAGGATTCACTCTCTTTTCTTCTTCATGTTTGCTCTTTCCATCTAAACATCTATCCATCCATCACACTGACTCTCTCTCCTCTTGCTCTCTCTCTCGCACTCATTAGTCTCCCCATGTGGCGGTTTGTGTCTCATGTCTTTGTCAGAACTCTTATCACTGCTGTCAGCTCCTTTGGCGAGAACAAAGTCGTCCTCTACTCACGGCACCACAAAAGACGAGAGAAATGAAAGCGCCTCGGCTCAAAACAAAGAGGCAGGAAGGAGGAACAATTAAATTGGGTGAATTAATCCAGGGGAAAAGAAGGGGAGGGGGGTGCTTGAAACATGTATTTTCATGTCAACCACGATTTACTGTCATCTGTGCGTTATAACAACCGTCAATTTCTCCCTCTGTTATCCTGTCATCAACACAGCAAAGAGCATACAGTTGGTTGGAACGTATGGGAGCTATCTATACACACATTAATTGCCTTTCCTGTGTATTATAAATATATCTCCTTGTACATCAGCTAAACCTAGTATATCAACCTCAAATAAGTTACTGTGTATGAAGAACAGCACTTTTGAAAGACACAGAGATAGCCAAAAGAGAAAAATGTAACCATATATAAATAGCTCTGATAGAAGGACCCACTGTAAAAAGTGTGTTACAGAAGTAGAGTACAGTAGAGCAGGACAATTACTTCGGTCACGCAATAGCAATATCTGATCAACATGGCTGAGAACAGTCTCTTCTACTTAGCGAACATATCAGACTTGAACCAGCTGAGGCACAAAGGGTACTTTGGAAACCAAGGACAAAATGGCCAGCGGCCACAGGGTCGTCATCATAGAAATGGCGCCAGGCATTCAAGGCTCAGGGAGTGTGGCCCTGGGTTATCACGTGTAGGCATAATCTATGTCGGGAATGCCGCCCTCTCTGTAGCCACGGTTGGTACCATAAGTGACATGATGGTGGCTGGTTTGGCTAAGGATGGTGCCATTGAGGCTGCCTGCTCTGTGGCTGCTCCTGTATGTCCCATTTGCATGGGAAGAAGAAGAAGAAGAAGAGGGGAAAATGGTGTGGATGTAGGTGACATCCTCCAGTTTGGGCTGCAGGGGCTGATGAGCCATGGCCGTCATCTGGAACCCTGTAGGAGGGGCTCTGATCTCTAAGATGGAATTGTCTTTCTTGGTGCCAGACTCTACATAGTCGTCGTAATTTTTTGCTCCTCGGCCTCTGTTGTAGGAATTTGAGTCCCCTGACTTGTAACTTGGTCTTTGTCCATACCAGCAAAAAATACCAAAGATGAGCAGCAGGCTTACTAACGCTGTGGCTCCCCCAATGATCCCTGCCAACGGCAAGGCTGACAGCTCAGAGTCTTGTGTGTCCTTATTTGACCCCTCCCCCCTGGAGTTCACTACAGCCTCTCCAGTTTCTATCTGAGCACAGGCTGGAGTCGAATCTTTATTGTTCATTTCAACGCCGCCAACGCGAGCTGTCCCCATGTTGGAGCCGAGAAAGGTCTCCTGTCGTAATGGCAGCAGGCAAATGAGGTAATGCGAGCGTGGTGTGAGTTGGGTGAGATGGTACTGCCTCCTCTCTCCAGGAACAAGAGTCTCTGTGATGGAGCCGAGTGCCGCACTGGTACCTAACCTCAGCCATGAGAGACGGAACGACGGTGCCGGCTGCAGGCACAACCAGCTAACCAGAACACTGTCCGAAGAGAGAGCTTTCACAGTCAGCTCTAAGGCCCCTCCGGTTACATGTCCTTCTCCCCCTGCAGGAAGAGGCATAACCAGACCTGGCCGTTTGGCTCGGAGTGTGAACAGGGAACCTTGCGTGGGGACCAACAAAGAGTTAGTGGTAGTGCTGCCATGGGATACACCTTGCCCGCCCCCTCCAACACTATCGTCACCGCCTTCATTCTTTTCTGATGGATTTCCCCCGACTCCAATGGCCGGACCAGCTGGGGGTCCTTCGCACTGTTCCATTAGATAGGTAAGGTCTTTAAGGGACTGGCCCTTCACCGCTTCGGGCCCCTGACAGGTCAAACCCCTGACTGTTACAGCTGCCCCCCAGCTATGAAGCCATGCATGCAGCCAGCGAAGGCTGCAACTACAGTACCAGGGGTTTCCTCGTAGCAGCAGCAACTCCAGACTATCTGCATCCTTAAGAAGCCCTCGAGGCAGACTGGTCAGATTATTTCCTGATAGGTCGAGCTTCTGGAGCCGTCGCATTCCATCCAGAGCCCCTCGTGGTATGTGAGTCATCCCATTGTCCTGTAAATGGAGCCGAACAAGATGAGCTGATGGTAGGTTGACCGGTGGGGACTGCAAGGCATTTCGGACTAGTGACAGCTCCGTCAGATTGGAGAGGCGAGAAAAGGTGTCATCTGCAATGCGTGTGTTGGCGAGCAGATTCCCGTCCAGAACCAAGCGTCGTAAGGAGGAGAGCCCTCGGAAGGCATGCGTGGGGATGGTGTTGATTCTGTTGTCATCTAATCGCAGCTCCTCCAAGGATGCAGGCAAGCCTGCAGGGATGCTCGACAAGTGGTTCCGAGAGAGAAACAGCAGTCTGAGCCGTGGAGTCCCAGAAAAAGCACGCTCCTGTATGCTCACTGTAGATATTGAATTATCATCCAAGTGTAAACGCTCCAGTAGTGGTAACTTGGCCAGAGATGATCGTGGTAACGTTCGTATGTTGTTATCCTGCAAATGGAGCTCTCGTAATGACGGTGGAAGGTGTATAGGGAATTCATCCAACTGGTTGGCATACAGGTAAATCACTCGTATGGAAGTGCTGCGCTCCAGTGACGGAGGCAGGCCGGCGTTACTCAGCCGGTTGCTTTGCAGGTAGAGGATGGCGGCCGTCAATGGTAGAGGAGGAATTAGACTGAGTCCGCGGTCATTGCAATAGACAAAACCCTCATCGCAGCGGCAGACTGAGGGACAAACAATTCCGTCATCTCCCTCACCCGTCTCCAAGGCAATCGCGGCTGCAGCCAGTTCCAGCACCTCAGCCAATAAAGTGAGACATAGCAGGAGCAGGAAGAGCCAATCGCGAAGCTCCGCAAGACTTTCGGTTGCCATGTTGGTGCCCAGCTCCTGATGGGAAACAGAAATGTGAAACTGTTTTAAAACTGCTGCAAAGTCTCAGTGAGGACTGTACTGTAAATACTGTATTATATATGGTGTTTTATTGAAAGACTATTCCCACTTGCATTTTACATCACGGAGATTATTCTGAAGAAATATTTTGGGTTGACTTCCCCTTTAAAAAAATTTTTTTTCCTCCCTCCACACTATAAACACATGTAAATGTAGGTACAAACCCTGAATCACTTTTAAACACACTTTCTTGTTTTGCATTTTTAAACACCAAAAAGCTTAAGCGCTTTTAAACTGTGTAGAAAACGCTGTACGTATTGTAGTGTCTATTTTAGGAATGCGCCTTGAAGTGGCGTGTGACGTCGACAAGTCTGCGTAGGAGTGCCTGCGTTTTGGCGTGAGCTGTGCCTGAAAACAGTTTCTGTGTGAGTGTGTTCGCATTCATTCCTTTACTATTCTGCCGGTGTTCAAGAAACGTCTGAAATGTGCATCGATGACTGTGGCTCTCCTTTCTTACATCCGAGGGTATTACAGTACACTAGATGCCTAATAATTTCGAGAGGGTGTAATCATAAAATAATATGACGTCATACAAAGTGTAAGCCGCAAAATAGGGTCTCCTGCCAAACAAAGCAAACAGCTAACAGTGGCATTTTTAGTGACCTAAAGAGAGATTTTCATACATTTTAACGGCCAAAACACAATGAAGATGAGACGTTTTTTAAAGCGCTCGTGTTGGTGATCCGCCGTTCTTGAATCACTTGACATAAATGCAGTCAACTGTTACTAGATGTAAAGTTTTTCCTCTTACTTCAAGTAGTCATTCTGGGGATTGAATCGTTGAACATACTTCGCAGAGACTGCCCATTATTATTTGGGTCAGCGCAACCGAGCACAAGACCAATGGGCAATTTAACACAGCGAGAGATGTGAGGTGGAGTGATTGGCTGAAGAAGATTACGAGAATCAGGGAAACCAAATGGATGACAGGGATGGAGAAAATTGGACAGTGACAGAGATTAACCGAAATGGAGAGAGTGACATGAAACTAAAATGGTGAAATGATTGGGAGGAGGAAATCCAATGAATTGCACGCAGTTCTGTTGGTAGCTGTGAAGACAACAGACGTAATGACCTGGGTGTCACAGCACTACATCAAACCCCGCAATGAAAAGGAGCAATCGAAATGCTGAATTGCATCATGATTGGAGAAATGCTCACACAAACTAAGGAAGCGATCATAAAGCTTTCACATACTATTGTCTCAGTGAAAGCCGGCATGCATAATGCACATCTTGTCTCAGTTTCTCTATTGTTTGTGAAATGTCGGTGAATTATTCTGGCCTGAAATATCCTGAAATGTAATGCAACATGACTGCGGTCCTATATTATTGTATTATGATGTGTGCAAGTGAGCACTACTATACATAACAGGGAAAAAAAAACCCCAAATAATTATCTGCTCTCAATTCCACTCGCTGTGAGTGAACTATTTATAGAACATGAAGAACATACAGTGGTAAAAGTTGTGTTGATTACAGAGTGGCCTCGCCTCTTTTGAGTCCTTTCATTTTCTTTTCCTCAGGCTGTATATGTTTTTTATATGATTTGACAGCACATTTGATAAACAAATCTTCTTCGGGCAAGTATTTTTTCCCCCCCTTTCCTTTCTGTGCAAATGCGCCTGCATGCATGGGCTAGTATACAAACTCTAACTTGCTAGATGCAAACTTGCCCCTTAGCTGCAGTCAAAATCCATGCAAAGTGAACGAGACAAGGCAACAATAGAACAGACAGAGGGGTGGGTTGGGGGTTTGTGGTGGATGAGAAGGGACGGATGGAAATGCGGAAAGGAGGCAGATGGAGAGCAGCTCTGTCAGTCACATGAGGAGAGGGGGGATGGCTGGAAAGAATTGCGAGAAAGGAACTCATAATTAGTATGAGTGATTGTGAGTAGTTGATGTATAGGGGCATAGCCAGAAATTTTCAGAAGGGTGGCTAGGGTGACAAAACACCACACTGGTCAGATAGATGCATTGGGGTGGCCACAGGCGCGGACTGAGAAGTCTGGTTTATCTGATTTATTGCGCCCAATATGGGCGCCACGTAGGAGGGGAAGACTACTTGTCTGGGACAATGCTGACAATTGTCTGTGAATCTGTAAAGTTGGTTTTAGTAACAGTGTTGACTTTATATTTTACTTTAATTTAATCCCACTTGAAACATAAAGTGTAAAGTTGACCTTTGCGGTGATAGTAGTAATTCAGCCATGCAGACGGTTCATCTGTTACACCCGGAAATGACGTGATGTTAACTTTAGTAGATGTCTCCATGAAATGAAGAGATCAAAAAGCATCGTCTCATTTCCCCGAAATATTTCTACCTCCTCCCAACTTGCTCCTCTGTCGATCTGAGACGACCCTCTACATGTGGAACCATATTTACTTCCATAAACACTGTGCCGCGAGTCACTTGACGTGCTTTGTGTGCATTCGCATCACATCACGGATGCCTTCCGTTCACAATCTAAATACCATTTGTTTTTCTAATGTGAATGAGTACATAAAATGAGACGATTTCACAAAAATCTGAATTGGGAGTGACGCTCTGCAGTATGGACATGACCATAGTCATATAACATTTTTTTTGTACATTATTTTGTAACATGATATGTTCGTGTCAGAGGAGGATTAGGTCACTAAATACCCACTGATGGTCCGCCACAGGCTTGTACGCAGTGGTTAAGAAACAGACTGTATGCCATGTAATTTGGTCTGGACCCAGTGTTTGTTTTCTTTCTTTGGTTTTTCTCTGAATGGAATTTTCAGTTTCCATTTCAGCATTCCAAGCGTTGCCAGAATTTAAAAGGAACATATGGGCACAAAAGGGACTCTGAAAGGAGGAAAACATATTGGGAACGGTCTACGAATATTAATAGGCATATGCTTTAATTCAACACGATAACAGTTCTCCTTTTTGAGCTTCACTTTTTTCTTTTTATTTTGGTAACACATCTTCATAATGAGCCTCAGAATTGTGTTGCAATATTTACGCTTTTTCCCCCACCTCATATCTGTTTTCACTAGCCCGTGGCAGCCCAGCTTACCTCCTGCATATCTTCTCACATTTCCCCCTTCAACTGTTGAATCGCACATACTCAGTTTTGATCAATCAAGTCCAGCTCATTTATTTGGCCCAGATCTAATCTCTTGTTCACTTTCATTTTCCTAATTTATCCGAAGAACCTGACTGACAAGTGTTTCACTAGGCTTTTTTTGGGAAGATGACATGGACTTTACTCCGTATCAATATCCCTTTATAGTGTGTGTGCATGAGAGGATGACTAAAAGCGTGTGTAAGTGGCGTTATCGACCTTCGGTATGATTTCATAGGGCTTGCTAACCTGTTCAGTCCGTGTCTTTAACTTCTGCCGCAGTTGTGTATTTCTCTGTGAGGAACTGTTTGAAAGGAATTTTAGTTGGTTTTGTTTGAGCGACTGAGGATGTCGTCGCAGTGGGTATCGGCACTTTGTCTTCCTCCAGCCGTTCAGATATGTAGTCTAGTTTCTTGAGGCCGTGGTATCTTCCTCAGCTTGGACAAATGATGATAGGGATAATGATAGTCTTTACTACAGGGCTTCAGTAGCAACACCAGCATGGCTTCGGGCCACCACATTCGTGAACTGTGTTTTCATACTGCCGGGCTCTCTCGCTCTATCTGTGAATAAGTGGGATGCTAGGCCTGCCAACTCAAGTCATCCTCACCAAGCATCCACAGGCCTAATTCAGAAAAACACTCCTCCAACACCAAAAGGCGACAGTTTGGCCAGACAGTCCCAAATCAGGTTTTAGGCTCTAAGGTCCTTTTCTGAAATCAAAGACATTCCAGGATGCTCACGTGAGCAGCAGGTCATGCAAAAAAAAAAAAAGAGTATTGGACCAAAGAGCCTTTTCAAGGTGTCCTCTAGTTTTACTATAAATGTATAAATGTCCCAAAAATCCACTTGAAGGAATTTCAATAGAAAGTTCAGTCTTCTACAGATTATTTTTTTCCCAGTGATGCCTTTCACAGAATGTTGTTTTGAACACGTTTCCCTCAGTTTCTGCCTTGCTGTTAAAACTAGTCCACTCTGTTCAGGGCATTGAGGGCCTGTCCAGGGTGAAAAAGTCTCCCACAGGTCTGTAGAACTGTTCTTCCTGGTATGCTGAAGGTGCACTTCACTGATGCTTGCTCCAGCAGCTTGTTATGTTGCCTGGAAGGACAAAGAAGAGCACACTATTTACACTTCTTGTTTGAAATGATTGTACAGTATGTTGTAGATCTAGTTCCAAACGTACCCTTAATTAATGTAGTCAATGATCGGAATCAGTCAGGGAATTAGTGATTCAGTGTTATGAATCGCAGCACTTAATCTCAATCATTCTGTTCTGTGTGTGTATCTCTCTCTCTCTCTCTCTCTCTCTCTCTCTATATATATATATATATGCATATATATTTATATGATATCTGCATAAAAAACACTACAAACAAGAAGTGAAAATATTATCTGAAGTCTTGTTTGCAGTTCAGCCTGAGAAGAGACCAACCAAGAGAACGTCTGAGTGAATCAAATTTAATTAGTGAGACGGGGCTGCGTGATGAGGATGCATAAATGTCAGCCTTTTGCATTGGTTCTGGGCCAGTTCATTAACTGCAGTTTAGGGGAAGATCAAACTAAAACTGTTGGACACAGGAGCTCTCAATATTTCTGGCTCATGACACTCATTAAATGATAGGATGCCTGCTTGCACTCCCAGTCACTTGCTGCTAATAGTGCAGTGCATCCTGCACAAATTAGGTTCCAAATGCCGAACATCATCCTTTCACAATGCCAAAGCAGTAATGCAGTATTCAACTGGTTTAAAACCAACACGATTTAACGCTAATGGGACTGAATTTACTTTTCTTGTCAGTTATGGAAAATACCATCACTCAAGACATTACTGGAGATGCCACATTAAATGAGGACCAAAGGGAAAACAGAAGCTTTCGTTTCAGTGTCCCAATGCCAGCAAGTTTCATTCTTAAAACAATGAACCATACCGAAAAATCACGGGACCAAGAATTATCCTCTACTGATTATAGTCGAAATAAAGTCCATTGTGAAAATACTTCCTGAAGGTCAAGCCTTTCTTTATCTATGCGGTACATAATTCCCAGTGTGTGCAAGCACCCCATTAAGGAAACCATGTTTTATAGCTCTGCACACCTTATTTATTTATTTATTAAATTTAAACAAAGCATCGGAGGTTTCATTAAGCACCACTCGCTCAGTGTTTGTACCTTGAGTGCGGAGTCAAGCTCCCAGATGAACACTGGCTTCACCAAGACAAAGTCTTCATCAGGAATACAGAGTGTACAGAGACAAACTCATCAAGGCCATTAACTGCTCCGCTGCGCTCGCTCGCCTGTTCACTCCATCCCGGAATAAGTAGACTACATAACCAACTGGGACATTATCGTGCCGTTTGCTTAAACATAAATCGAGACAAATAAAGCTGTTCTCGTTTTCATTTTCAAAGGACACACGTGCTCAGAGGAACTTGGTCAGCACGCGTATGTCTGGAAATGTTTTCATCCTTGAACCCAACTCTGGTTGCTGCCTCAAATGGAAAGGAATGTGGTAAAATGACTGCACTGTTTACAGAAGTAGTTAGAGTTGTGTGTGACGTGGTAAATTGTCCTTTTTATCAAATAAACCAGGGGTGAGAACTCATTTGTGGCACTGTAAACAGATTTGTTCTGTATGCACAGAGCACAGTGAACGCGTGTCATGAAAACCTCTCGACATGAAACGGAATGCAAAACAAGTGCTGTCTGCAAAGCATATCCGCTTGATGACTGGCTTTGGGAGTAGTGAAATGATGTCAATAATCACAGATGGGGCTTTGTGCTTTCCACCTCTTCTGCATTAAACACTGACAAATCCATCCAAGTTCTCCATCCATCAATCTTCCAAATCACTACTTGAAAAAAACTCAATCTCCTGATGTACTTTAGGTGAATCTCAAAAAGCGTAAATAGCAAAGGTTGTACGGTTCGGAATTTGACGCTACTGGTGCGGACAGTCAGTGAGTGTGACGACTTTTCCCTTTGTCGAAAAAGTCAGCTTTTTGGGGATATATTTTTTGGGGGGTACCACGGTATCAAAGAGAAAGGGTATGTGAAACTTGCTTAGAAGAGAGGCAAGCATGGTAGCACTGACACTCGCACTAAAATATATCACATCAGAATCTACGAGAGCGCCGCCCATCACTCATATTAATCGACAACGATTTAGCTTGATTAATCATTCTTAGTCCCCGTTTAACTTTAATTTGTCCAAATCTTTGAATTTCAGCCGTTCAACAGTAAATATCTGATTTCTGTCATTCTCCGTGAAAGCAGACAGATTACAGTATCATTGTGATTCAGCCAAAAAACTCACCATGTTTGCTTATTTTCTGACATCAGGAGCCAAATCTGTAACTAATCATCATTTGTTTGTGTGTAATTACCTGTTTTTCAGGTTCATTGATTATTCAACGCCCCCCCCCCCAAAAAAAAAAAAGCGTCAGATTAATCAATTATCAAAATGGTTCGTAACGTTGTTTTGAAAGGAACGGTTTCATCCAGCCATGGGAGTTGGTGTGACTACAGTTGGTAAAATAAATACACAAGACTTGAAACCGAGGCAGATAGAAAGCTCACTAGGGTGGCTAACATCAGCTCTTTCTGGACGTGGAAAAGAGCAGATTATTAGCTGCTCATTTTGGGAGAAAGTAGTTTTTATTGTGTTTATGCAAACATTTCATAATAATACAATTTAGAGCTGTAATTGCAAAACAGCAATGCCATGAAACGGCAAAATTTTTGGTCGCAGTCGTCATACCGTCAGACTCTGATACAGGCCCATGCCTAGCATCTACTTCACATCCTAAGAAGTGAGTTAAGACACGAGACTCGAGCCTCATATTCACACACACGAGTTTTTCATTATTACTTGTGGTTTGCTCCATTTACACTTATGTTGTGGATGTACTGAAATGTGTGAGGTGCTTGTACATTGTCGCCTTCCTGTTACTATTTATTAAAAAAATCACACCTGTGGACAGTTTAGAGTCTGGAAGTAACCTAAGAAACATGTTTTCGGAATGTGGGAGGAAGTGAGGAGAACATGTTAACTCTCCACAAGAGCCCAGACTACAATATGATATGATACTATACTCACTGTAAAATGACCTGCACAGTTAAATTATTTCTAATCGTGACAGTAGATTTTTTATTTCTTTTTTTTGCTTTATTTACTAAGAAAATTGTCTCAAAATCCATACCGATTGAAGGTTGACCACTGTTCTCGAATGACCTTCGATAATCCACTGTATAAATGATCACTGTGGGGTTCTAATGACCTTCATTTGCCATGCGTGAACAGCAACGAAGAGTCAATTTTGGCCCGGATAATATGCACCGCTTTAGGCAGCGTGAATCAGACAAGGGGTTTGGGAGGTAAAAGCTAAGAATCTTGGTAGAAGTGAAAACAACTTGTAACTAAAAGTTGCAAGAACCCTGGAAAAATCTCTGACACTTTGGTGTCACATCACGCTGCAAGTGGTAACTCCAGGCTTTTGGAGAAGCTATCTTGCATATTATCAGACAACGCTCGTCTATAAATCTTTTTCCTCATGTGGTAGAGGGGAAAAGGTGAAATCAAGTTCTTTTTCGAAGAAATGAAAAAAAAAGAACTAATAACATACTCCGAATGAAAGGCAGATAGTTGTATTCACCTCATGACCAAAAAAAAAAAGCCCGAATGTCTCTCGATTGGACCGAAATCATTTGACGTATTACAGGAAGATAGCTTTTGTCAGTTGTCCTGATATTAAAATGCTGCAAACAATGATGGGCTTGAAGGAATAATAAAGATGCATTGTAGCATTGATTCACTTGGCTTTTAATGAGCAATAGGAGGAACATTTAAAATTGCCATTGTGCTATTTTTCACAAGTGTTGCTGGCAATATCCTCTCACACTGATCACTCATCACAGGTCACCCCCGCCCACCAGTCCTTTGTTTAACTTGTTTTGTCCTGTATAAAAGAGAGCATCTCATTGCTGAGGGGGACACAAATCACTCTGCTTGTGTGTGACAGTCCATGTAACCTACTTGCACTATGTGACATTCATCGTGCTTTCTCCCATCCATTGCTTCCCCTCTTTCCTTGCCTAGCACAATACTGAATACATGTAAAGCTAAAATTCTCACCTAAGAACAACATTGACAGTAGGGCTGGGGCCGATACATATTTTTAAGAATCGATTAGAAATTATGCCATCAATTATTTGAGTAATCAGATCAAGAACTATTTTGAAAACAAAAGATCAATGCAAAATATGCACGTGAGGTGGAGGTATAAGTCCACACGCGGTCACTATCCTCACGTTCTACATTGGAGCATCCATGACTGTGAATGTATGTGGCCTGACAGGGCATAGTTTGGCCTGGTGAGTGAATGTTGCAGCTGGCTGTTAACTGGCTAACCGTTAGCCAGTCTGCGCAATGATTCCCTGAGTACCAGTTGTGGCCATGCAGCTTGTTTATGAATGTGCTTATTACGTTTTTATTTTATGACCGTTTGATCAATAAAGCAATTGAAAGCGACTGGCGGCTGCGTCTACCATTTACCACCTTTGGGGCATAACACTATGTTCAACTAGTGGTGGTTGACTGTATTGAATTGGCTATCGATGTGTACGTTATCTTTTGTGGGCAATCTTGTGCAAGCCACTTCTGCCTTGTAGTCTGTAAGTTGCACTAGTTTTTTTTTTTTGTTTGTTTTTTTTTAAATGTGACATCCCAAACATTTCAAACATCTTTTATGCACCCTTTCCTCCTGGATCTTATTTCTATGTGAGTCTGCAGTAACAGTCTACTTTTTAAAAAATGATCACGACAAAGCGTCGAGACAGATGCCTCGTAATTCGCAAACATTCAACTTGAGAGCTTCAAACAAAAGTCAGATTGTTGAGCTGAACTAATCATTTCACTAAGACGCCAATTAAACAATCCGGGACAATCATTTAGGACAAGGCGATCTGACTTCATTTGCAATTATGTGATATAATCTACTTTGGACAAAGTCCAGTCAGGATTAGCAAAAATAGGTAATTGAGTAATAGACACGCCCACTTAAAAGGCTTTATAATTGCAATTAAATGCCACAAAATGACGGA